CCTCCCAGCCCTGCTCGCAGTGGCAGCTGCAGGTGTCAGGGGAGAAGGTGCCGTGGCCGCTGCAGTGGCGGCTCAGATCTGGAAGGAAGGAGAGAAGCCGACGGGGTGAGGGAGAGAAGGTGGTGGTTTCCGGTCTGAGGAGGAAGAGGAGGACGGCGAGGAAGGTAGGGGAGACTGGGCCGCACCTTCCAGCCGCGCATGCTCCTCACCCTTTCGCCTCCCCTGGTTCCTTCCCTCCGAATGGCGGGATTATCCGGGCCTTTCTAGGAAAGGGATTTATAGGCTCCTCTGGTGGCTGGTTGCTGTCTCAAGAAGGTGGGCTGAGATCCGGACAGCGGGGAGGCTGTCCTCGCCTGGTGGGTGGGGCTGGTCTTAGCAAGGCTCCCTTGTGAAAACAGCCAGGGTGAAGGCTGGAAAGACGGACTTACAAAGGCTAAAAAAAACAGCCCAGTCTCAATTCTGGGAACGCAGGGTGGGTGAGGGGATTAACCGAGCTCCCCTCTTGGGCTCTCCATAGGAGGAGGAGCTGGAGGCCAGGCAGTGCGAACCCTTCTGGGAATTCCCTTTGCCCGCTTTCCGGAATACCCATGCCTCTTCCTAATGAGAGTGGAGGCTCTCAGAGCTGGTCCACACTGTTTTTCATGGCCATGTCCCTGGCACCTACTTCTGTATCTGATATTCAACGGGGACTGATAATCATAGCAGTTCCTTCAAATATTTAAAAAAAAAATTGTAAAGTACCCCTCACTTATCTACTTAAATCTGGGCAGTTTGTGTTTGAGAAGGGTTGGGTAGGGGAAGCTAAAATCCCAATTTTAGGGCTTTGTACTAATAGTTCCAACTTCCTTGATAGCTTTGGTAGGCCAGGACCCTAATATGAACTCTCTGTAGTTCTCAGAGCCATGCTAACTGATAAAAGTATCTTACTGAGCAGCCAAGGGAACCAGAAGTCTGCCGAAAGTCACATTGGGCAAAACCGTATCTTGCCTCCATAGCCATTGCTTCCCCTTTGAGAAGAGTTGGGGTCCACAGGTAAGAGGGGCCCAGGAAGTGTTTGAAGCCGGAAGCATTAACCCAGGAGTCCGCTCCAGAGCTGCTGGTCCCTGTTCAGGCCTCCAGATGCCCCTGAAACTAGCACCCATGAATAACAAGCAGGAAGGTGGCCCCCAGAGAACTCAGAATGAGAGTTGGGAATGCAATAGACTGAGAGTGTTCATGAGGCCCATGGAACACCTGGCACATAATAGGTGCTTGGAAAGTGTTTGTTGAATGAATACCAGATGGTAAACTCACCAGCAGCCCCTTGGCAGCAGCGCTGGACATTACACTGCTCCTTCAACTCTGCCATTTCTTCCTCCAGTTTCTTCAGCCGGACCAAGAGGTCCTGGAAACTATCTGACAAGTCACAGTCCTTCTTTGGTGTCTGGAGGCGGATGTTGTGCCTGAAGATGAAGTTTTGTTCCTCCCCCTCCTCCCCCGTGGCCAAGAGTGAAGTCCCATCATCACTGAGCGACTGTGGGTCAGCCTCCACCTGCACCAGGGCAGACTTGGGCACCTCAATCTTGTAGGTGTGGCTGACGGTGACCTGTTGGTCCTTGTTGCTGCATCCAGGAGGCTCAGGAGTGGCCGGGGCTGAAGTCACCAGGAGCACAGAGCTGAGCAGAAGCCCCAAGGGGAAGCCGAAAGTCCCCTGGAGACCCATTCTTGGAGAGATGGAGCAGAACCTCCAGGAGGCCTATGTCCTGAAAGGTGCAGAAGAGACCATGAGATTTGCTGAGGGAAACTGCATTTTTAACAGATTAAGAGTCCACAGAAAGCTGAGAAACCAGGAGAAAGTATTTGTCCCATCTCTCCTGAGGTCATCTTCCTTTCCTCCCTCACACAGGGCTTGTTCCACCTCCTCTGGAAGTTTCCACTGGTCATGCCCCCAGAATGCCCTTCCGAGCACACACTACCTCACAGGCCCTGGCCCGACCCCAAGCAGATAGAAGGGAATGGTCAGGGGCACACTAATCAAAGTCACTGCCTTGGACTTGGGCAGTGGGAAGGGAGGGGCTACACATTTGAGGAAGCTGCTCTCATGAAAGGCAAGGGTGAGGTCAGAGTGAGCAGGGGATGGCAGGAAAAAGACCAATGCCTGACTGGCCAGGAGGAAGGGAGTGGGAACTTGGCTGGAATGAGCTGCATGGCAGAGACAAGAAGGAGGCCTCGGAGAAGAGGCCTGTGCCTTGGATTTGGGGAGGCCAAATCTGTGCCACCAAATAGGGCACATTCAGGAGCCTCCAAGAGGGCAGCTAGTACTACGGCATGGATGGGCTGCCCCCTGGGCCACCATAGGAGGAGATGTTGGCAGGGAGAAAGGGGAATCTCCACAGAACCCACTCAGGCTACTGGAGCAGCCCTGGGGCATTTGCTACCATAAGGAATTTCAATCCCAACTTGAAAGAAGAAAAGATGTGGCTCAGAGCAGACTGAGGCTCTGATACTGAAATGGAATTGCCTTCCCCAAAGTGGTTATCTTCTAAGACTAAAAGCAGCCCAGAAAGCTCAGGCATCAGCGCAATATCCCACTGATCTGCTGCTAATGAGTGCAGACCACAGAGCCAAACCCAGGCGCAAAGTGTCAGTTGTGGAGCTCTTAGTAGGTGCTAAAGCACCTACTGTGTTCAGCGGAGCACCTGAGTTTCTGCTGTTCAAACCCCTATTGTGCCAGATGACAACAGAGTCAGAAAAGTTGACCTCTCTCCCCATTTCTTCACACAGCACCCACCCCCAGCCCCTGGCTCACAGTTCCTGAGCCCTACATGGAGTGCAGATGTTTTTCTGAAGAAGTTCTGAATGGATACAAAAAAAAAAGCTGGGGACTCTAGCCATAAACTACAGCAAGGCCAGCCAGAGCCCTATCTCATAGTATTTGTTTTTGAAACCTAGAACTGAGAAACCCCAGAAGCTCTCCATGTCGCCTGTCCTTATGCACCATAACAAGATGTCCTCACTAATCATAGCCTCTCGGATTCCACAGGATGAGCTCAGATTTTCCTGGTCAGGGCGATCCCTAGAAAGATGAGAGGAGGAAACCCTCGACCTGACACTCCACGGGTGTTAAGAGGGAAAGCTGCTGGCTCTCCCTGCAGCACATGGCAGGGGACTTTCCTCCTCGGAGAGCATGAGGAAGGGGTGACTGCTCCACTCCCTAGTATACCCAGCACACCGCAGACTGAACTCCCCAGGGGTGGGAAGGGGCGAGGTGGCGCCAAACGTCACCAAGAAGAATGCTGCAAGATACGTTTCTGAATAGGGACTCTTGCTCCACGGAGCGGAGCTTCCCACAGAAAGTGGGGCAAATGCTGCTGGGATGCATGAGGCAGAGGGCGTTTACAGACAAGAAAAGTGTGTACAGGGACCATGGGAAGCAAGGTGTTCCTGGAACTCAGTCTTGAGGCTGATCACGTCTTGAATTCCAACTGCAGGAGGGCTGCTGGGTGGTGCAGGAAGGTGGCAGCCACGTGCTACTTTGTACAGCTTTTCTGGGGCAGGGTTTTCCAGGGGTACACTGCTCACCAAGAGCTGGCTAGATGGTCCCCCTCACTCTACCCTCAGAGCCACTGATACCAGAGGGCTGTAATTCCTCTTGGTACCTGCACCTACCCCCACGGCTTTAATTTCCAGCCAAGTACTGACCACTCCCAAGTCTGCACTTGTTTTCCCAGGTATCCCTGCGAGCTCAGAGATCCCAGTAACATACTGGACCCCTGTGTACCTCCATCCTCATAGCACAGCGCTCACCAAATGTTTGAGTTAAATAATGGCCACTGGAGCACAAGTGCGCTTGTGTTTTTTGGATAACGGATACCATGCCAAACAGAGCATCACTCTCATTTCATCCTGAAAATGCTGGCTGGCAATTGATAGCTTTCTTTGTTATGCGTGCTCAGTGAGGTTGAGTCATTTGGCCAAAGACACACAGCTAAGTAGCAGGGATGGGGTCATACACTGGGTCTGTCTGCTTCCCATGTCTGGGTTCTTCGTCTCTCTGCAGTGTGGACCGTAGACATGAAAAGAGAAAAACAAACACAAAATTTCCTTCTGCCTGCCATATTTCTTTTAAGAGACAGGTTCTTATGAGAGTAAAGGAAACTCATTGCATACTGGGTACTCAACAAACCCTTGATAAGTTGATAACTAGGGCTGGGGCTGGGGTGTGGCTCAGGGGTAGAGCACCTTCTCTGAGCAGTGTCGAGATGCTACTGGGAAAGACAAATCGTTTCCCTCACAGGGAAACAGGACAAGTCCGGTTACTTCTGATGAGAAGCTGGAATTCCCTTCCTCAGAAATACCTCAATGCACCAAGACCTCTGTCCCCTGGGGCAGATGTCAACCAAGCCATCCTCAGCAGAGAAGGATAGACTCCCAATCCTGATGGTCCTGTCCATCCCAAGGGTTGGGTGTCCTCTGTGTTACCCAAAGAAGGACGCACACCCTAGGTCAGAGAAAAATACTACTAATACTGAAGAGAGCAATGGCCAACTGCTAGCCACCATTACACATCTTTCTAGTTAAATTCTGGGCTTTCTCCGGATCCCACATTACCTCATCCTGATTTTTTGGTTAACCTCAACCAAATGAGAGCACTGCTTTGGGTTTTAGAAAAACTGTATCATCATGGATTTGCAGTGCTGTCACTTGAGAGATTCTGTCCCCAAATGACAGGGTGGACATCACTGACCTATGAAGGAAAATGAAGTAGGTGGCTCAGGATGCATGGATGTCACAAATGTCATTGGCAAACTTGTCCCTCTTTCCTTAACTCTCTGAGGCTTCTTAGTGATCCATACCCTGGGCCTTGGGTGACTCAGAGGTCTTGTGACCCCAGCGCTTGTTCCTGTGTCTGGGTTTTTTGTCTCTGCACCGTGTACTGCAGACACCGTGTACTGAATGGTCTCGAGTGGCTGAGGAACCAACCGGGTTCAACTCATCTTGAAGTAGAGACCTCAGGCAACCGATGCACCTCTGTCCCTTGCCCCTTCTGTGTACTAGAGCGGAATGTGTCCAAGGCAGCACTGTTTCTAAGTGCCTGGATGCCTGGAAAAAAATATTTTTATCTCCAGTCTCTGTGACACTGACTTGTCTGTACAGGTGTTCATGTAGGACGCAGATCAGGTGTGGGTGAGAATGAACACTTGTCTGAGTATGATAGGCTTAATCCGCTCTATAGCGACATCTTCTGGGCCCCTACACTCAGAATTTTGTGGGGTCTGCCCAGGAAGTGCTTATAGTTGATTCCCTTCCCTCCTATCTCTCTTCCTGGAGAGCTCTCCATAGAGGCTGCCGCCCACTAGAGGCAGAAAAGACACAGGTGGGAGCCCCTGCTCCAGCCTCGGCACTTGATTGCTTTCTCAGTGGTCAGCACAGGCCTGATTTGTTCTGTCAACCCAAGTTTAATCTGCCTGGCAGAGGCCCAAGTGGGTGATGGTTATGGGCTCTACCATTCTCTAAGCACTTACCTTGTGCTAGACTCTAGTACTAAGCACTTTAAAACCTTTCTCTGGGACTGGGGGTGTAGCTCAATGGCAGAGCCTGGCCTAGCACACACAAGGCCCAAGATTCAATCTCCAGCACTAAAAAAAGAAAAAAGAAAAAAATCAAAACAAACAAAAATAAACTTGTCCCTGAACACCAAAGTCGTTCATTCACTCACATAGGAATGCATGACTTTCTCACAGGAAGACCCTCCTTTTGTTTTCGGATCAGGCTCAACCACAATGAGAAGATAAAACAGGCACAGGTACTAAATTCAGGAACCTTTCTTCCCCACATCCAACCAAACACCCAATTCCCAGAATGACCAAGTGTTACCTGATACACAACTCGCCCTATTCCCCACCATGAGCCTGAGGGGCATCTGATGGCAAATCTACTCCGGCTGAGTAAGAAGGAGTGGTGAGTAATGACAAGTTGCAATTCTTCTCTCTAGTTTAAACATGTGGTTTTCCACATACTGGACCAACTCTGAAGTTCCAGCTTTCCATCAAGGAGTGGCTTTGCTAATTTCCAAGGATTTGTGCTGCTCCAGCAGCACTTGCTGGGCACAAACACGAATGGCAGCTGGTTGGCATTAGCACGAGTCCCCTGTGGTAGAGGCAGGCAAAGCCCTGTCCCTCGGGGGTTGGGCCTGAGATCTTTTCATCGTCAGCTTCCAGACTGGTGGCTCCAAATGCTGCTACGGAACCTAACCCACAGTCTCATGTCTGCAACCAGACCCGCTAGGAGTCAGGCTCTGGCATGAGCGGTGGATGGTAAGAGTTTCCATGGGCCTGGGCATGACTTCCTGGTCTATCCTATGTTACAAACAGCTCAGGAATGGAAACCCAAAGCCATGGGATGATTTAGACTTATCTGTCCTATTTTCCTTACTTTGGGAGCCAGCTGCAGCCCACAAACAGGGGACATAGTGGAACTCAAGACTGTATGGATGAATGTCAGGTGCTTTCAGCCCTCCTCTCTGGGAAAATGGCACCAGTGGCACTGTTGCTTCCCGATCCCCTCTCCTAACACTTGTCACCTTGACTCTGAGTCTACAGCAATCACTCAACTGCCAAAGGCACTGAGTCTTCTGTGTAGATCCTGGGCTCTTCCCACTACCCATGAATAGCTCTGGCTGAGCAGATGTCACCTGATGTCTTGAGGACACTGTGGCTTCTCTAAGGATCCAGTGGCCTTCAGCACTGTGGCTAATCTCCACCTTGATGTGGGTAGGTAGCTTGTTATCTTTACGTTGAGACATGTTTTCTTTCATGCTTATACAAACAAGTACCATGCTGGGCCAGGGATTTAGCTCAGTGGTACCACGTCTGCCTCACATGCACAAGGTCCTGAGTTTGATCCCAGGTACCAGAAAAAAGAAAAGTACCATACTCTTAAGTGAAATTCTGCCTATTCTTGTTCATCACCCCACCTTTTCTAACTTTCTCCCAAATGCAAAAGTCAATATGTAAATAAAAAGTCAGAAAAGTCCAAAAACTAATCTATCACATCATTCTTTTCTTTTGCTTTCTTTCTTTTATTTCTGTATTAAAGATTGAATTCAGAACCTTCATACCAAGTGCATCCTCAGCCCATTTTAATTTTTTTATTTTTAGAGGGGCTCACTAAGTCACTCTTGAGATGTTTCACAATTACTTCGCTGAGGCATTGTGAGTGTATTTGTATGAGAGCTTGGGGAAAAGAAATTGTCTTCAGGGCTGGGGATGTAACTCAGTGGTGCTGTGCCTGCCGAGCAGGCGCAAGGTCCTGAGTTCAATCCCTGGTACTGGCAAGATAAAAATTGTCTTCTTACAAATGATAATTAAAATCTATACAATTACGTGTATAGATCTCAAAGCCCTTCAAGTGAATTTGCAAACATCATTTTAATTTTTTAAAAAATCCAGAAAGGGAAAGCTCTAACAGTTTCATGATCACAACTGAAATAAAATTTCTATTTTAGGATTTAAAAGAGCAGTAAGATGACAGATAAGAAATTACAAAAAGAGAAGGCTCCTCTGATATTATAAAGAAGCCAGTAAAGCAAAAACATGAGAAAGACATACCAGACTCAGAAGAAACCTTTTATCTAAAAATGCACTGCTCCAGGTAGAAACCAGTTCAACATCAACAGCACCTGTCCAGGTAAGGACAGAGCCCAGAGAATATAACACAAAACATAACACAGGTCCTGGAGATACAGTTCTTCCTACTTCAAATCTATCTTGAATTACACTGCCTGCATGCCTTGACCCCTGATCGTCCCACTTGGCACCTTCCTGTCACAGGTTAAGCTTCGGAACCTGGCTGTCTTACCTGGGAGGCTGCTGGGCACTGCTTCCCACACTCTGCCGCCTCCTGTGTGCCCCGGTGCTGAGACTTGCGAGTGGACACCTTGGTGCTGGTCTGCCCCTCGCTCTCTTCTCTTCTTGGCTCCCTTCCCTGGGTTTTTAAATCCTGTCTAGGTCAGAGGAGGAGCCTACGGGGACTCTGGGGTATTCTCCTCCCTTCCCAGCAGTGACTCTGTTAAGGACTGAGCAGTTCATTCTCTTTTTCTAACTGGGAGAGAAAAAAATATACATTTCCCCTTTCTTTTTTACTTTGATTACACATCTGCTAAAAATACTGGAGGCTGTTTCCATTTAAGTGGTTCCAGAATAAGAGTATTTAAAAAGTTTGCATGCCTCCTGGCCAGGAGCTGAGTCTTAGAGTTTGAAAGTGAGTTTATAAAGTCACCTTCTCTTTTCCCTGTTTCAGGCACTCTAGGACTTACTGTCTCCTAGCTTTAAAATGGGAAAAGATAGCACAGAAAGAAAGGAACAGAGACCCTCAGCAATAGGTCCTGCTCTGACCGCCACCTCTGCCCTCCCCCCTGTCACACCCGAGAGAGAGCGAGGACAGTGGACTGGGGCTCTCGGGCCAACCGTGACCACACCTTCCAGACGCCTCCTGTATAGCAGCCACACAGGAGCCAGGTAAGGACAGCAGCACCCCGTCAGGCCACCCACCCTCTTTTGCCATCGGGTGGACAGACTTGTTCTTCACATGAACCAGAGTGATTTCAAAAGGTCACAGGCTGCTCCTCCCTGCACTTCCTGGGGTAGATTCTAAAGAAGTCAAAGGGTTTCCAGTTCACCCATGGGGCCATCAAATGCTGCTGGGGGAAAAGAAGAAGGAAGAAGTTGGGAGAGAAGAGGGATGGAAGAGTTTCCCTCTGCAGTTTTGCTACTGAGCCAACCCCATGTCTGCCTACTACTCAGAAGGCCAATTCTGAAATATTGAGCTTCTATTCACAGGGCAGCCAAGCTTGGGGTGGGAGAAGCTCTCAAACCCTCCTCCCTGAGGATAGGGTTCTGGGATAATAAAGAAGCAGGGCAGAGCAATCTGAAGTGTGAGGACAGGAGATGGGAGTGAGGACAAGTGACCTAATCAGGAGTCTGCACCTGAGAGTCAAACGTCCTGGATTTTCCTGAGATGCATGTCCACAAGATGGCGGCGCTAGTGTGCTCTGCTATCCAAAGATCACCCAGCTGGCACTTGCACAGCCCCCAGAGAACGGGTGGGTGGTTTCAACAGGTCTGAACTGCACCCAAGTGGCCTTGAAGTTCCTGAGGAGCCACTGTGACCCACACTTCAGAGTTGTCTGGAGCGCAGCTAGTGGGAAACTTGTAATCTCCCACTTGGGTCTGTGACCTCTACAGTTACGGTGAAACCAGCAAAGCAAGTCGAGTGATTTATTCAGGTTTTCCCTCGGTTTTGGTTGGATGGAGAGCCAGAGAGCCTGTATCTGAAACTTATGTCCTCTACCAGCAAATGACCTTTGACTCAACCTCTTTGTGCCTCACCTTCCTCCTGTTTCAAGCAAGTGTGTTGCAGTTATTGTAAGGACTGAGTGAGCTGCTGTATGTAAAGAGCTTAGACTCTACCCAAGGACACTCAGTAAATATCAGTTGCTATTGTTTTGTGTGTGTGTGTGTGTGTGTGTGTGTGTGTGTGTGTGTGTGTG